TGGTGCTGGCGGAAGTCCAGCTTCTGCCCGTCCTTCCACCAGACCACCAGGGGTTTGGGGGAGCCGCTGGCCTCACAGGGCAGCGAGGCCAGGCTGTGGGCGATCAGGGTCAGGTTGGAGGGTCCAGGCGCGATGGCTGGAGGCTCTGGGGAGAGGGCAGTGGTCAGGAGACAGGGGCAGGTTGAGGGGACTGGAGTCTCTCTGAGATGGGGGTGAGGGAGGCTCCCTCCCACCTCGGTGGGGAGGTCCCCAGGGAGGACCTCCAGCACGCTCCTCGGGGAGGGGGCTCCCCAGGCCCGAGCCTGGCGCCCCATCCCCCTCATCTGGAACCAGCCCCCAGGTGACTCCTCAGCACCCGCCCAAGGCCAGAAGTTCACTGAGAGCCCTAGGTTCCTGTGACTGCGCCTTCCTTCCATGGCTGACTTGTAGAGCAGCCCTTTTCCTACTTGGGGAAGAGTGTGATAAACCACACACACCCTTCCAGATCAGATCCCAGTGCTGCTTACAACAGGCTTCATGGTCAGCACATTTTTTTGGGGGGGAGGTGGGTTGTGGGGCCTGAACTCTGGGCCTGGGCGCTATTCCTCAGCTCTTCAGCTCAAGGCTAGTGCTCTACCCCGGGAGCCACAGAACCACTTCCGGTTTTCTGAGTGGTTCATTGGAGATAAGAGTCTCAGGGATTCTCCTGGCTGGGTTGGCTTTTAACTTCTATTCTGAGATCTCAGCCTCCTGGGTAGCTAGGATGACAGGCGTGAGCCACCGGCGCCCGGCTGTCAGACACATTTGAGGATCATGGCTCTGGGCTTCTGGCGGGACCCCACACACCACTGGGGACTGGGGCACATGGCTTCCCCGGGCTACCTACCGAAGACGCGGAGGTCACGGCCTTGCCGGTCCGAGCCGGCCGAGTTGGATGCCAGGCACAGGTAGTGGCCAGCGTCCTGGGCGAGCACTGGCCGAATCCTCAGGGAACCCTCGGGGAGGACCTCCAGCCTGGAACGGAGCGATGGGCCAGGGGTCCCTGCGGGGCTGGACGCCTGGCTGTGCTTCCAGGGACACCGGTTCTCGGCCCATCCCTCCACCCAGTGAGAGGATGTGACTTGACCTCAGTCTGACCTTTGTGAGGCCAAGGGGTGACAGTCGGGTGCAGCTCCCACATCCCATTCTTTCTGAACACGGCCCCAGAATCCGGGACATGCCCCTCCCCCAGGCCCATGGCTGTGCTATTTTTTGTTTGTTTGTTGGTCCTGTGGGTTGAACTCTGGGCCTGGGCACTCTAAGCTCAAGGTGAGCGCTCTACCACTTGAGCCACAGCGCCATTTCCGGTTTTCTAGTGGTTTATTGGAGATGATAGTCTCATGGCCGTTCCTGCCTGGGCTGGCTTTGAACCGTGATCCTCAGATCTCAGCTTCCTGAGTAGTTAGGATGGCAGGCGTGAGCCACCACTGGCTGTGATAGCTGTGCTATTTAATCCCGCCCCTGGCCACAGTTGATTGGACCATGGATGGGTAAATTGGTTAGGCTGGACCAATGACATTCTCTGCCTGGGACTTGGTAGTCACAGAGAGCTTGCTTACTCTGCAGGTAAAACTAGGGGTCCTTGAGGGGTGTTGGCCACCTTCACAGAAAAGGAGAGGGGGAAGGGGGATCGAGACAGAGAGAGAGAGAGAGAGAGAGAGAGAGAGAGACCTACACACACCAAGAAGTACTGAAGAGATGCTAGGGCGGTGGCCTGCTTGTCTTGTTTTGCCCGGGCTGCTCAAGTGGGTTTGTGTTTGTGAGCCGGGACCCTCCCCTTGGGCTCCCACCTGGGGTTCTCAGGATCCAGGGGGGCCCCATCTTTCCTCCAGCTCAGGAGGGGGGCGGGCACGCCGTCAGCCTGGCAGGGCAGCAGGGCCGTGAGGTTCACGGAGGCGTTCACGGCGGG